CCCCCACCCTCAACCACGAAATGACCATCACTGTGTCGGTGTGCTTCTCTTTACTCAAACTCAAACAAGCCTGCACTATACCTAGGATATTACACAGCCATTCTAAATTATGTAAATTCTTTTAATGGGGATGAAAAACATCTACATTAAAGGCATTATAATAATAGTAGAGTCATGTTTGTGTGAGTGTGCAAATGGCAATATTATATTAATGACGATATGTCAGCCTCTGTCTTTTTCTCCATCGACTATTTCGTTCACTCCTATCTCCTACCCCCCCACCCCTTCTCTCTCTCTCTCTCTCTCTCTCTCTCTCTCTCTCTCTCTCTCTCTCTCTCTCTCCTTTCCTTTCCTTTCTCATTCTCTCTCTTTCTGTCGTTTGGGGCCTTAAAATACTTTTATTCATTTTGGCCCAAATTTAAAAAACATTTCACTACTCACCCCCCCCCCCCTTCCAAACCACAACTGCCTTTTTGTTTGCTAACGAAACTTCGTTTATGTTTTCGGTATTTCCCGTAAATCCCAGTGGCATCCCTCCTTACTCGCGTTTCTCTTCTTTTTTCGTACCCCCTCAGCCTGTTCCTTACTGGGTGGTTGGCGGGTGCTCTGGTGTGGTTTGCTTCTTCTCTCCTATCAAACATCTATCGTCCTTATCTCGCCTTCTTCTTTTTTGTGTTTGTTACTATCTTGTACTTGTAACACATATTCTTATATGACCTTTTTGTGTTGCAAGTGCCGTAAAACTTTTCATCATTATCATTGCCTTTCTCACCCTGCACCAGGGTATAGGCCACGGACAAACACCCCCCACTTTTCTCTATCCTGGGCTAGCCTCTTGATGTTCTTCCATGTCTTCCTGCTGATGCAGAAGCTCCTCCGTCTCACAAGATGGAAAAATAAAAAGCTGTGTTTGTCCGTGTTTCTCTATCTTACTGTTTTTTACTGGGTCGGGTAGTTGGCCCTCCGCAAACTGGCACTTTTCGGGCGACCAGACCTATGCACTTTTTGTCGCCTCTTACGACACGCAGTATCACGGCAGGGGTATTCTTTGCTACCACATAGTTAAACTACGGGCCCCCCACCAGCAGGGGAGATAAAGCTTTTACTAAAACTAAATGACCTTTATAGCGTCGATGTGCTCCTCTTTAGTCAAACAACAAATATTTAACAAACAAATGTTTCCCCCTCTTGTCTCCCCGACAGGTCCGCATCAGCACCATCTTCCTGGCCGTGGGCTGCCTCGTGGCCTTCATCGCTTGGGTGCCCAACAGAGCCGCTTGGTGGTACATCCAGGACGCCTTTCTGATGGTCTTCTGCTTGACCTTTGTCCGGCTGTGCCGACTCGCCAGTCTGAGGGGGGTCACGGTCTTCATCCTGGGTCTGTTGGCCTACCACGGCTTCATCTTCCTCATCATCGGCGTTGAGTCCCTAGACTCGTTCCCAAAGAACCAGGACTTCTGGACCATGCCAGCCGCCGCCCCGCACTACTCTGGGGAGAGATTGTCCTGGGTGTTCACGGTGCCCATCTACAGGGACGTGTTCATCCAGACGTGCTCCCAGGTGCCCTACGTGTCCGCGGCCATCATTGACGTCATCGTCAACGGTCTGCTCCTCTCCTACGTGCTCAGCTACGACCTCCTCATGGCCACCGGCTTCTCCTACACCGTCTTGGCAGTCTGTGCTTACGTCATCGGCCTGGTGCCGGGGATCTTGTTCATGTACGTCACAGGCCACACGGAGACCACGCCCATGTACATCCTTCCCACAATGCTGCTGATCATTCTGTTCAACGCCTGGTTCCGGGGGGAGCTGAAAGTCTTGTGGTACGGCAAGCACCTCACGTCTGACTTTCCGCAGATGAGGCAGTCGCCAAACAACAACTCTGAGCTGGACGTTCGTGGAGATAGCGATGACACACCCCCAGGAGAACACACAGAGACCACCAGCCTACTGGCCGGCCAACACAGTGTGGACATGAGTAGTCTAAATGTTGGACAATACAGTATGGACATGAACAGTCTACATGCGGACCAATATAATACGGACATGACCAGCCAATTCGCAGGCCAACAAAGTACGGGGAACACCAGCCTATTCGCAGGCCAACATCGTACGGAGACCCCCAGAATCCTGGGACCCCAAAGGGCTGAGTTAGCCAGATTCGTGACAGAACACGGGGTGTCTCTGAAACACGCCTGCCGTCTCCGAATTGTCCCAATGCCGCCGTCCCCATCCTCTCCCCCGGACTTCTGTCCTGAATTCAGAGCGGCGAGAAACTTTCAACCCAGTCACGTGCTGTCAGATCGCTACGAAAGAATGCGTTGGTCCGTATTTTCTTCCTCTCCCCAGGAGGTCTCCATCAACACCGACGACAACAACACAGAAAAAGACGACAGCTACACAGTCACGGGCGACTGCAGCAAAAGAAACATCCCAGAGGAAGTCCCCACCCCGGAGGAATCGGAGGAAACTCCCACCCCGGAGAACTCCGCCGTCGCCGACTTCTTCCCATTGCCGGACACATTCCCATTGCCGGAATTCTTTCCTTCAGAATACCCCACTCGGGCACCACGGTGGGTGTCCTACATTCTCCCCTTCCCACCAGGGCACCACAGTGAGTGACCTACACTCTC